AACTTTTCTTGGACGATTCCCTTAATAAATACATTGAGGCAGCTACTGAGGGGAGGGGGTTCAGACCCCATTATCCAAGATTACAATTTCCAATGGAATGGATATCCCCTACTTTTTGGGTTAGATACATTTACCCCCCACATCAGCACCATCATCTACCACAGGTCCTTCTGGTCATGGCAAGTCTTCCCCATCTAAGTTCAGCAAAGCTATTAAAAAGCTTACCTCAAGCTAAAGGTTCACCCCCCTTTCCCACAGTGAAGCGGTAGCCTACTGACACACTTACGCAGCTTAGAAAAGAGACCTCTAGAACTTTCTTTCATTTTACCTTCTAGAAGAGGTGCTCAAAGAATCCTAATTGCTGTTTTCTCTCTCTTGCATCTAGTGACTGACAGCTGCTGCTTCCATAAAACCTTTTTTCATCTTTGCCGTCACTTTAAATAGTTTAGTTTAGACCAAGCTGGCCCAAACAATTTTCTTCACTAAAAGTGGGTACACATTGTCCAAAAATTAGCCGGTTCAGCAGGAATCGGCCAACTTTCAGTCAGTATGTACAGCAGTCTGTCCAGCAGAAGACAGTCCAGTGGCTTGCTTTTGCAATGGGTCATGCTGGAAAATCAGCATCCGATTAGCACTTGCAGTCCATTTTTGGGTCAAGGAGACTATGTTGTTTTGACCTTGGTGGCAGCTGATTTCATTGACAATTTTGTATTGGAAAATGTCATTCCCATATTCCTAGGGTTCCTTAAGTAGTTAACCTTCTTCTCCACCTCTGATCTTTAGGAACTTTGGCTCTTGTCTGTCTTGCTCAGCTAGCCTTTGACAGCCTTGCCAGGTGAATTCCTGATATTCCTGCTTCCCAAATATTCCCTATGTTGTTACATTCTGTCATTTGCATTGGTTGACCCCCTTTAAGTTTTACAGATTTTCAAAATGAAATCCAGGGACACCCTGCTGAACATGCCCACAAGACCGCACCCTCATTTGTAGCCACACCCACAAAGCCATGCTCCCATTTGTTAAACTGAAAAAATATAGCTATAAGGAAACTCTTGCATAGCGTGTGGTGCCGAATTGTGTGTGACAATTCTATTTACAGTGGGTGGACCTGGTTGAATTAAATCTGCGCTGCTATGGTTTAAGAGTGTAAAGCATAGCATGTAGGTTCAGAATTAGGTAACATACAAAGTTCAGGGGTCAGGGTTAATTAAAGCTCAGAGTTTAGGGGTCAGGATTAAAAGATAAGTTCATATTTTGTAACATGTTACACCGTATTTATTTAGGGTGTAACATGTTACTGTTGCAAAAGTTCCCATCCCCAGATCACCCATTGTGACAGCGGGCTGGGGTTCCTCTCCGCGCACCCATTGTCACAATTTTAAAAAGACACAGCCATGTGGGGCTCTGCCCACGTGGCCGCGTCATTCATTCACAGAGTTCTGTGAATAGGAGAACTACAAGTACTGACAGCCTTTGGAGCTGACAGCTTGTAGTTCTCAATGATCTACCAGGGTGCTGTTGGGCACTCTAGTAGTTCATTGATGCTTCCTGTCATTGTGTAACTGCCTGCCTATACAAGGTACAAACAGACAGATACACTGACAGTCTGCATGTGCCTGAGATTGTACCTGCAATCTGCTGATCGTGTGTGCAATGCTTTGTAGGCTCCTAGTAAAAGAAAAAAATAATAAAGGCACATTTCTTTTCCTACAAAAAGATGTTTTTTTTTTTTACAAAGGTCAACTTATCCTTTTAAAGCAGTATTAAACCCAAAAGCAAACATTTATTATATTGCAGCGTACCAGTTCTTAGATGTGATGGCTGTATTAGTTTCTTTTTCCTGATGCCAATCCATGGCAGCATACATGTCACAGGTATGACAAAAGGTATGACACAGTTATGAGGAAAGGAAAAGTACGGTAAGTATTTGATACAATTTTCTGTTTTCCTAACATGCTGCCCTGAATTGACATCAGGAAAGGAAAATTAGGGTAAGTATTTGATAAAATTTTCCATTTTTTTAGGCTTTCTTTCTTCTATTTTCATCTTTTCATTCAGCTGGAAACTCTGCTATTTTTCAGAAATTCAAGCTTTCCAGCAGACTGTATCAGCTAACATAGATGAGACCACCATCCAGTTACTACTGGCAGGGGTGATTAAAATAATCTGCTTTTTTTTTTCTTAATGCATGCACCATTGTGCAAAATACAATAGTAAGCAATAAGTGTGTAGCATTGTGATACAAAGTGGGAAGGACAGAGTCATAGGTCGTGTAGACCAAGAAGGCTATCCAGGAAGTGCCAACCAGCGCATAGTTGATAACAACTTCCTGTCCGTGGAACAAGGATGTTGCAGAACATAAAAGGAAAAAAATGGGGGGTGGAGGGAATAATAATGATAAATAAATGGGATGTGTTGGTATGTCCAAGTGGGGAGCACCAGCAAGCACTCTTCAATCAGCAGACAGTGCATCAAAGAGGTCTTTCTCCTCTTCAAAGTAGAAAAACATGTTCCACAATGTCCAGGTTTGTAATACTTCTCACGTTTATGCAGCGCGGTAATCAGTAGATCCTCTGGTTTAGCTCTTCTACTCTGCGAAGCCGGAGGCCTAAGGTTGGTAGCTGTGGGCATTTCTAAGTAAGGGAAATGCATGATTTGGCAGTGATGAGGAGATCACGAATTATAGAAATCCTATACATTTTAGCCTGGCTATTAGAGATATGAAGGAGAAAAAAAAAAGGCTAGGTCCTCTGGGACCATGTGCTCTGTGATTTTTTTTGGACATTCCTCTGAACCTCTTTCCAGTAATGTTCAAGTTTGGGGCAGGACCAGAAGATATGATACAGTGTCCCCTGCTCCTCCTTTGGTACAATTTTGGCTGAGATTGGTAGTAATTGAAAAATACATTTTGTGAAAGAGATGGCGTATGATACCAGCATATCAGAATTTTAAAGTTGATTTCCTGGACTCTCATACAGATCAAAGATTATAGGGAAAAGCAGATTTTGTTCTGTAGGCCCAAAGTAAAAGTACAGTCCAGAGTGGCCTCCCATTTTGCTATACAAGACAGTCAGTAGTTCCCTTGGAGTGTCACCAATAGAGCAAAACCTTTTGAAAGCAAGTGGGGTAAATCTCCTTGGTCGGAGCAGTATTCCTCAAACGTTGTGAGATGACTGCTAAAGTTACATGGAGACCGTAAGGAGTGCAAAAAGTGGTGCAATTGTAAGGCCTTCCAGAAGTCCAAATGAAATGGGCCCATAGGTTCATCAATGCATGCAGGGAGGGCCACATATCTGCTGTTAGAAAGTGAGAGGCCTGATACCGACAGGAGACATGTAAGGCCTGAAAAGTCACATCAAGGAGAAGCAGGGGTTGCCCATAATAGAAAATAGAGGGAGACATGAATGAAAATCTAAGAGCATGTTTGTGCTGTAGGTCCTATTAAAGGATGGCAAATAAACAAACAAGGAATCAGCACATACAAATTCCCCAATTCCTAATGCCAGAGGGCACTGAACAAAGTTCACAATAAGGTCCGATGACATATAAAATGAACATAAATGAGTCCATATAGCACTAGGGCAAACTCTTGTAGCTGTAGCAGGCTCTGGGTAAAGAGAAAAAAAGCGCCTCTAAGTGCAGTACATAGAACATTTATTGAAGAAAACAGTAAAAAAACACTCATGATGGAGGAGAAAAAGAAGGCTTTGGCATATGTTAAAAGATGGAAGACATGACTGCGTCCTCAATTTAATAGCCGTAGTCAGCGCTGGGGGAGAAACTCTGGATCTTCACAAGGAGCTGGCTGGCATGTGTGAGTGTTGGAAGATGGTGTCCGGAGTACACCCTGGAGCACGATGTCAGCGTGATGATGTGGGGAAGTCCAGCATGCAATGCGACGCGTTTTGGAACATTTGCAAGGCTGATAGAAGGCAGAAGCATGCTCCCTTCTCAAGCATAATCCCTTCAGAGCTTATGCTTGAGAAGGGAGCACACTTCTGCCTTCTATCAGCCTCGTGTATGCTCCGAAACGTCCCTCCATGGATATGCCTCCCTAGACCATCACTCACCCACCACCAAAACAGTAATGCTGAACAATGTTACAGGCAGCATAACACTCTCCATGGGTTCTCCAGACCCTTTCATGTCTGTCACATGTGCTCAGGGTGAACCTGTTCTCATCTGTGAAAAGCACAGGGCGCCAGTAGTGGACCTGCCAATTCTGGTGTCCAATGGGAAATGCCAATCAAGCTCTATGGTGTCGGGCAGTGAGCACAGGGCCCACTAGAGGACGTCAGCCCCTAAGGCCACCATCATGAAGTCTGTTTCTGATTGGTCAGAGACATTCACACCAGAGTCCTGCTGGAGGTCATTTTGTAGGGCTCTGGCAGTGCTCATCCTGTTCCTCCTTGCACAAAGGAGCAGATACTGGCCCTCCTGTTGGGTTAAAGACCTTCTATGGCCCTGTCCAGCTCTCCTAGAGTAACTGCCTGTCTCCTGGAATCCCCTCCATGCTCTTGAAACTGTGCTGGGAGACACAGCAAACCTTCTGGCAATGGCACGTATTGATGTGCCATCCTGCCCTGTACAACCTCTGTAGGGGCCAGGTATCGCTTCATGCTACCAGTAATGACACTGACCCTAGCCAAATGTAAAACTAGTGAAAAACAGTCAGAAAAGATGAGTAGGGAAAAAATCTCAGTGGCCTCCACCTGTAAAACCAATCCTGTTTTGGGGGTCGTCTCATTGTTGCCCACCTAGTGCACCTGTTGTTAATTTCATTAACACCAAAGCAGCTGAAACTGATTAACAACCCCCTCTGCTACTTAACTGACCAGATCAATATCCCAAGAGTTTAAATTACTTGATGCTATATATATATATATATATATATATATATGTGTTCTTTTAATATTTATGAGCAGTGTATTTACAACTGGTGGGGTGCTGTTTCGGTTCAGTTTACACACAAGGATGAAAACTCTGGCTGCTTAACTTACTTGAGATGATGGAAGTCGTGGAACTCTGGAGATGGCAGGAAGGGAAGGTGGTAGCCACAGTGAGAGATAGTAGTGGTTATCAAAGCAAGACAGAACCACAACATAATGGTTGCTACATGGGAGCCCATCAGCATCGGTCCAGCCATGGAAGGCAACATGTTGGAAAACTGCAATAAAAACAGTGCATTAACATCAACCATCTAAAACAAGGATACACAACACATGTCATCTTCTCGGCTTGTCTCTGCCAATTACTGAGACACAAATGAAGGAGAAGTGTTTACTTCTGCAATTGTGCTGGAAACTAATTACCAGGACTTCAGCCTACAAGCCCAGTCTAGTCTTCTGTATGAATACATAGGCTAAAATGTTTTTTTTCTGCATCATTAGGCAACCTATTAGATAAAATCTGCACTAGGGGTAATAAGAAGGCTGTCAGTGCTAACCTCCTTCTGAAAATGTTAGTTCCCTGGATGCCAATGACTTCACTACTTTCTTAAAATGTATGGACTAGTTAGAATTTCTATCAGGCATTTGTTGTTTATGTGAAGTGAAAGGATGAGGAATCCAGCTGTAGTAATTGTTCAAAATACAATTTTTATTTATCACAATAAAAGATTCTGTTCAGAATTGAACTTGGTCAATGTGTTTTGGGGGTTACACAAGAGTCCCTCTTCATCAGGGCTTAAATTTATTGTGCAGGAGGGGGTCTGGAGTACTAGTTTAATCCTGGGATTCAATTCTTAGTAAAACACAATTAGAAGCTTACTCAGTTGAACTCATCGGCGTAGTATCAGGGGTCACAATTGTAACCATGCTCATGCTCCAGGGGGGCCGTGCTGTCTCCCTGTTACTATGACGGGCAAAGTGGAATCCAGAGCAAAGCATAAGCTCTGGGCTCTGAGCTTTTGACTCCATTTTCAAGTCCTGAGCTGGAGAGTAGCAAAGGAAGGATAGGGTGAGGTCAGTCCTGCTGGACGGGAAAGTGTCAGTGCTGACAATCAGGCAGGAATGGACACCGAGCTGTCACCGGGTTGAGCGAGGTAGGAGAGCACCATCCAGGAGCTGGTACTGCTGTCATTGGGGAGGTGGGGCAGTGTGTGTCTGTTCTCTGCACGGATCCGACCAGTATCTTTTACTGGTCGGATCCGTGCAGAGAACAGACACACACTGCCCCACCCCTCCCCACCACGCCTGCTGACACTCACACAAAAATTCTCACAAAATCCTATAATACCTCTTGAGGGGCCCCCAAGGGACTGCAGGCTCCAGATTTTACTGTGACAGTTTGAGTAGGATGAGCAGAGGGGGAGCTGGATGGGGAATCTGTCATTGTCAGGATGGGGGGGGATCAGTAATTCCCTGGGGAGCCATGTGTAGTTACTAGGAGGAGGAGCACCTAAAAGTGGGGGTCATCTGTCATTACCTGTAGGGGAGGGGTATCTGTCATTACCTGGTGGGGGGGAGGGTCAACTGTCATTACCTGGTGGGGGACATGTGTCATTAACAGGAGGGAAAGTCATATGTCTTTACAGGAGGAGGGGGTTATCTATGATTAGCTGAAGTGGGGGGGCTCTTGAAGGAGGGGTCATCTGTCAATACCAAGAGGAAGCAGGAGGGCATGTGTTATTACCAGGAAGGTGAGTATTACTTTTCCCTAATATCCTGCTCTTCCATATCACTGCAGCCTGGCCATGAGAGAGGTAACTGGGTGCTGTTTAATAACATATAAAAGAAAGGTGTTTTAAGAAAAAAAAAAAAAGACATAACTGCAGTGGCACACTCTCTGATCAGCTCCCCAACCAGCCCAGTACAGTACCCCCTCCCACCCCTGCTCAGCCCTGCACGTGCACACAAGGTGGGGGCAAGCAGGCATACTGTGAGATGCTGGTTGAAAGTGGTGGGCTTGTATGTGGATCTGGAAATCAGAGGGCCTGTTCAGTTTCCTCCTTTACATACAAACCTACTACTTTTACCTAACAGCTCAGAGTGTGTCCTGCCTGCTCTCACCTTGTGTGCACATACAGACGGCAGCAGGAAAGAGAGAAGAGAGAGACAGCCACCATACAGCTATCATATCTTGGCACACGGTGAAAGGTAGTGGGGGGCACAAGCTTCAAGCTACACCTCTGGTTGAACTGTAAGGTAGTTTAGACAATTGAGCAAGCTCCTAACAAGTACCCAGTAACAGTCAGGATTTATGGCAGACTTCACTAATGGAGGATCAAATACATTTAAAAAGGTAAGGACTGATTTAGCTGTCAAGATGCACTTGTTATTAAATATCACTTTAAGGTAGATTGACCCTTTAATGTTTTTGATCATCATTCTTAAAATATCTAAACTCAAAAGCAATAGTCAATGCTAGGGAAAAAGAGAATATTTATGCAGCTAGCAAGCAAGGTAAGGCAGTCTCCCATCCAAGTACTAACCAGGCCTGACCCTTCTTAGCTTCGGAAATAAGACAAGTGTTAGGGAGCTAGCAAGTAAGGTACACTATGTTGCCAAATGTATTGGGCCAGCCCTCCAAATCATACGATTCAGGTGTTCCAATAACCTCCATGGCCACAGGTGTATAAACTCAAGCACCTAGGCATGCAGACTGCTTCTACAAATATTTGTGAAAGAATGGGTCGCTCTCAGGAGCTCAGTGAATTCAAGTGTGGTGGTGCCGTTATAGGTTGCCACCTGTGCAATAAGTCCATCCATGAAATTTCCTTGCTTCTAAATATTCCACGGTCAACTGTTAGTGGTGTCATAACAAAGTGGAAGCAACTGGAAACAACAGCAACTCAACCACAAAGTGGTTGGCAACGTAAAATGATAGAGCGGGGTCAGCGCATGCTGAAGCACACAGTGCACAGAAGTTGCCAACTGTCTGCAGAGTCAATAGCTAAAGACCTCCAAACTTTGTGTGGCCTTCAGATTAGCACAACAACGATGCGTAGAGAGCTTTATGGAATGGGTTTCCAAAGCCGAGCAGCTGCATTCAAGCCTTACATCACCAAGTGCAATGCAAAGCATCAGATGCAGTGGTGTAAAGCACACTGCCACTGGACTCTAGAGCAGTGGAGATGTGTTCTCTGGAGTGACCAATCACACTTCTCCATCTGGCAATCAGATGGAGGTGTCTGGGTTTGGCGGTTGCAAGGAGAACGGTACTTGCCTGACTGCATTGTGCCAAGTGTAAAGTTTGGTGGAGGGGGGATTATGGTGTGGGGTTGTTTTTCAGGGGTTGGGCTTGGCCCCTTAGTTCCAGTGAAGGGAACTCTTAAGGTGTCCGCATACCAAGACATTTTGGATGATTTCATGCTCCCAACTTTGTGGGAACAGTTTGGGGATGGCCCCTTACTGTTCCAACATGACTGCGCACAAGTGCACAAAGTAACGTCAATAAAGACATGGATGAGCGAGTTTTGGGTGGAGGAACTTGACTGGCCTGCACAGAGTCCTGACCTCAACCCAATAGAAAACCTTTGAGATGAATTAGAGCGGAGACTGCGAGCTAGGTCTTCTCGTTCTACATCAGTGCCTGACCTGACAAATGCACTTGTGGAAGAATGGCCAAACATTCCCATAGAATGTTGAAGCTGTTATAGCTGCAAAGGGTGGACCAACTCAAAATTGAACTCTACGGACTAAGACTGGGATGCCATTAAAGTTAATGTGCCTGTAAAGGCAGGTGTCCCAATACTTTTGGCAATATAGTGTAAATATACAAATCCCAACGTAACATCATTGGTGGTTTGGAGCAACACGTAGTGATATATTTGGACTGTTGGATAAAAACTACATACGGACAACTGTTATTTTTTACCTCTAAGAAAAGTCACGTGTGTGGGATTTTCTGTGCACTTTTTAAAGTCTGATTTTTATTGGTTATTTCTGTCATATGCATACTATTTACACTTAGGTCTTTGATTATAGGACTGTTATATACATTCTTGATCATTTAGACGCTGCACTTTTGTTTTCACATTATTAAAATATCACTGTCGAAGACACTTTGTTCAGTTAATGACTTCTACTTACAATGTGTTCCAGAGGATGAGCATAGAGTGACACCACTCCTACAGGGGCCGTCCACTCGTGGTGCTGTTTATGAACATGCTTGTATATGCTTGGATGATGGAACAACCTGCACAAGGCAAAAATGTATGCAATTTACTGCACAAATATTTATGAAAATGTGTTTTATATATTTATAAATCGCACACTTGAATACCAACAAAACAAGTCTAAAGCTTTTTTTACAGCTTTGAATAGAGTGGGAAAGAAATAGGATCGCTCTCTGGCTTTTATATGCATCCTCATTGAGGATATACAGTATATTCTAAACTCTTGTTAGGACAGGAAGCAATGTAAAATTTCTCCAGTGAGGACACTATGAGGACTGCAACAACACACTTTTTTTCAGTAAGCCCTGGTTCACACTAATGCGACTTGTCATGCGATTTGACCATTCAGATCACATCCAATGATTTTCAATGGAACCGTGCTTATCAGTGCAACTCCAACTTCATCAGAGTTGCACTGACTTGAAAAGTAGTTCCTGCACTACTTTTGCCAATTTCAGATACGACTTGCATAGACATCTGTGCATGAAGTTGCACTGATGTCTGAAAGTCACAAGCAAAGTTGCATTCACAGGCGACTTGGAAATCGTGGGACTTCAAGTGATGTTGCACGACTTCTAATTTGCATTAGACCTCTTGTTCTCTTTATCTCCCTACGCACGTTTCACACAAATGTGCATCCTCAGAGGCCATTGTTGTCTGTGGTAGAGGGCATGAAGTGTTTGGTCAGTTTTTCAAGATACTTACACTTGATCGGTGGATGGCTGATTGTTTCAGTGACTCTTTGAATGTATTTTTTTTAACTCTTTGTTGTTTCATGAACTATGCAGAAGAATATGACATCACAGAAATCTGGATGTCTTTTCACATAATCTGTTTCTTTGGGTTATATTTGGGTTGATGCATACCTTCTATATGTGTATGTATTTAGTAATAATAAACTGACATAGGTACTATCCTTTTCTTCTTTTACTGAAAAACATGTGTTGTTGCAGTCCTCACCTCATCGCTAAGAGCAAAATATATCTTTTTTTAATTTGCTATAGTTTATTACTACTGTCACCCCTTGTTTCTTGTCTTGCAGTCCCAGGACAAGGAATGAGGAGAAAATAAATCCTGATAAAAGTTTGCTACTACCAAGTGTGCCCAGAAAATATTGCTTACATGTTTTGCAGGTTTCAGGGCTGTCAATCTGACCTTGACTTCACAATGTAAGGAGTCCCTAAACATAACAGCAGTTTTGACTCTGCAGACCTAACGGGATGCATGCTTGTTCCATGTCAGTGTGTCAGAAGGAGTGAAGCCAGGATCGGGATGGCAGCCCTGGAGCTTGCAGATGAATAAAACAAGTCATTAATGGGAAGCTGGGAAACAGACAGCAACAAAATCACAGCAGAGTGGGGAAATGTTAGAGCTGTTTACAGGTTCTCGTTGCTGATTGTTTCTCCTGAATTCCTGTTGCATCAAAGGAACAGGAAGTGGTGGAAGGTTTCCAAAAGGGTAACAAAAGGGTAACAAAAAAGGGTAACAAAAAAAAGAAAAAAAAATACACAAATTCTGACTCTATTCCACTCTTTTGATAAAATTGCGCTGGAGTTGTCATGATGGGCACTGCGGTCAGTGTTTTCTTTAACCCTACCTGTGTGAATAGTAGAAAAGGATTTCTTCCACAAGTACGAAGACTGAGAGCTCCAGGAGAACCCAATGGAATGTGGGCAGTTCTGTGCCACAGGGATTTCCCCTCAACTGCATGAACATGTACATGAAAAGGACCATGGGGAATGAAAGAAAGACTTGGTTGAAGAACACAACTTTCACTGCATGCTTTAACTTTCCAGGGTCCACCTAGGGTCAGAAAATACAAAACAACATCACACTAAGAGCAAAACCAAGATATCATTTGTTTGTCACAAATCACACCAAATCCTCACCTATTTGTTTTTAAAAGTATCACCAAAACTTTTTTGATGTCAATGATGCTCTAAACCAGGGGTCTAAATACTTTTCAAACAAAGGGCCGGTTTATGGTCCTTCAGACTTTAAGACGGCCAGAGTGTGGCCAGTGGGGGTAGAAAATGTTTCGGGCATAGCATTAGTGAGAATGAACACTGGCCTCAGGGATGGTGGTCAGTAGGAGGAAGAGTAGTACCCCATCATTTGTATTAATGGGAATAGTAACACATAAGTATTATCAATAGTGCCTCATTGTTGGTGTCAGTGGGAGGAATACTGCTTCATATCATTGGGAGGAATAGTGCCCCAAGGGCCGCATAAAGGCTAGCAAATGGCCACATCTGGCCCTCTGGCTGCAGTTTGGAGACCCCTGCTCTAAACAGTGAAACAATTGTAAGGACAGGACCTCAGTCTGCACCTTCAAAAGCCAGTTAGAAGTGAAAGCTCCCATTGTATTTAATGATGGGTTAGATTTACATTATATGTGGTTCTAAGGTAAGAACAGTACTGAATATCAGGAAAGGGGTAAAAATTAGCAATTTACAGCAGTAGATGCCCCACGTACAGCCTTGTCATAAGTTCCAAACCAGCTCCACAGGGACGCAAGTAATGAAGTATTCTTTAAATGAACGAGTTTGTGGCAATTGTGCACATAGGGACAGGGACTCTGGCAACCATTTTGTTAGGTCTACCATTTTGTCACATGACTCTCATAATCCCCCCCCCCCCCCCCCCTCCCTTCTGAATGGAATGTGAGTCTGTAGTGAAGGGGGGTCAAAAGTGCATAGGCAAAGCTGAATAAGCTCCATGGATGTAAATTCCTAATTAGCCTGCTTCCAGAATGTCTGCTTGACAACCACTTTCCTCTGCCCGGTCGTAAAACCATCAGTCGGTCATGACCTGTAAGCATTACAGCAGAGGGTTCCATTAAACATACTTCCCACATGAGTCATTTTTCATACAAATTCATAAACTTCAGCAGGAACTGGGCACATTGATATGAAGTATATATTTGGATAGGTCATTTTAATATGAGTCACATGACACCTTACATCCCTATGCGCCTACAAGAGGGTAGAAAGCAATATCTTTTATCTGGAGTGGCAGGATATGCTACAGTTTGGTATCTGTGCATTAGGAATATGATTCTACATATTAATCTGCCAGTTGCTAGGATGCTACCTGTACCTATTGAAGGTTATTGACCGTAGTATGAACTTGTAAGGGATTTGGTCATAACCTTGGTCACCGCCTAACACCCATCCCCAAATGAGGCGATTGGACATTTTCTCTCATGAGACACCCTTTGAGATAATAGAAAAAGACTGACAGCCTGGAGAAAAGGAAGATCTCTCCCTTTTAACATCAGGAAATATCTTTGGGAGAAAGGAAACCTTTTTGTTCGGACTATTGGACTCTGCTCAAACCAAGGACTTTTGCAAGTATCTTGCCTTCTGAAACTTCTTTCTTTTATTTCTCTGTTGTTTTATTACTCTCTCTCTCTCTATATATATATATATATATATATATATATATATTTGTTACATTTTTTTCTGTAAATATTTTAATTGCACCATTTAGACCTTTTTAGTAAAAAATCCTATTTTCTGAAAAGTGTTGAACTGTTTATAAAGCTCTTAATGCAAACTAAGAATCCCTGTCTCTGAAGAGTGCTACTGTATGTATTAATCCTCTGAATACATCTGTCTGTGATTACAGTGTGTTACAGATACTTATACTAATATCATAGTGTTACTGCTAAGATTTGTGAGTTTCCTCCTTCTCTGTAAAAAGATGGTGGTGGCAGTGTGAAGGGTTAATTGCGTAATTAACCTGACCCAGTAACATCCCTCTCAGGCTGTTGGCACATAGATTGTGGCCCCGCAAGCTGAAAAATCTTTGTGCAGGGTGCAATTGAGAGTGGCATTGTTACGCAAGTGACAGCGCGGTCTGAGATCGGCTGGTCCTTCGGTCACGAGTTGGTGAGAAGGGCTGGGGTCTGATGCCACACACCGGCACAGAGTTGTCTTAAAGTAATTTTAAGGATCTCCTGCTGAATTAGAGCAGAATGGGATAGATATCGGTTTTGTGAGCTTTATGGACAAATGTTGGATATATGGGCATCTAGATGAAAACAGATATGCTTCAGTTTACATCAGACTTCCTCCAATCTGTCATGTTTCGGTCTTGAAAACTGACAGGTGGATCTGATTGTACCACCAGAGTGAAAGGGGCCTAAGGCAAACATATTATTACAGTGCTAGCACCTTGTCTATCTTACAGGTAGCTATGTTTATATAAAACTCTGTGGAGCTGGTTTGCATCCAGGCCCAGGCTGTAGAGACTTTGACTTTTGCCCAGGCCAAGGTTAAAGTGTATGTAAAGGCAATTGAAAGATTTCCATCACCTTCTAGTTCTGTTACAGTTTAAAAAAATTTATATTTCTTGTTACATTTTGCACTAGAGACAATAGTTAAAAGGAAAAATAAAGAGGGTGTATCTCAATGGGAACATAGATAGCAATACAAACCTATAGGGATTCTAATCCTTCCTATTCTATCCAAAACAAAAACAAAATGTTTGGCTTTACATACACATTAAGCACCATCCCACCAGAGTGCAAATCTCAGACCCTGCCTGAACCTGAGCACTCTTCTTCAATTATAATCATTTAGGCCTTGCTCTGAAACCCCTTATGAGTGTCTTTAGAAGCATACACCTGCACTCTGCTAATTAACAGCAACCACTTGTGGCTTTCCCAATGCTCACGCACCTTAACCAACCAACTAAGGATACATTTCTTTTGGGCTGGTGTATAAAAAGCCATTTATACTGTTACCGCCACATACTTCCCTATGGATCCATGAGAAGCATTGCTAAACAGGAAGCCAAGGAAGTTGGCCAGGATATGTTTAATTTAAAGGCAACCCGTCTGCAACAAATACAGGAGCTGCCGCTTCTGACTAGTTTTTGAGATGCAAGCTATGGTTTTACGGTTTAGCGAGATACCGATATAGCACAAACCTCTTTTAAACAAGGGCAGCTTGCCACATTAACAAAATGGTACCACTTCAGGCTGTGGCCTGTGCTCAGTTTATGTAAAGTTGTATGCACATCCAGTAACACCTACCGGATCATTCTTTCCTGGCTGGATTCTGTAACGGGTAATGATGCTTGGTTTTCCAGTCAGGTCGATCATCATTAGTACAGCATTATAGATCCAGAATGACAAGCTGGGGACCACCATTGCTCCTGCAGGACAGCCAAAGTGTCATATCATGCTCAATGTTAGCATTTTATGAAGCAATTATATACATTTTAGTGTTAAAAAAACCTTGCGTAAGAGACGGCTGTGTGTCCAGCATTAATCCAACTGCAGCTGTCATGTTTAGTGCTAGTCACAAATAGAAGTAAATGTCTTGGTAAATGGTTGCTATGGCCAATATACTATCCCCCCTGTAGTTCTTATTGCCAAGTGCCTCCCCATGTCAGCGCTGATGGATTAAGCTCTACTCACGTAACCCCAGGACCACCCCTTTTCAGAGCTTAAACGTTTTTCACTCTCCCTCCTCAGTATTCTTTTTTGTTTCCTGAGACCTTGTGACAGCAAGATCCCTTCAGAAGAAGCTCCCTTTCCACCTAGGCTTTACCTCCTGTTGGTAGTGAAGGGTCTGGAGTTATCCCTATACAGGTGTTATCCAGGGCACCCTTGGTGGCACGGTCAGAGACATAATTGTGCTTTGTATTGCTTTCTACAGCCATAACATGGGCACTAACCAGGTTCTCCTAACTCTCTCCACTTTTCTCTCATGCTCATTATGGCATCTGATGTCACTTTCAGTCCCGGCTTGTCCAATTTCTTCTGCCTATACTATGGTGCTACAGTGTGGGAGAAGGTATCTGCATCTCTTCTCCAGCTGCCAATTCACATCTCATTCTGTCTATATGTGGAGAAGCACCCAGGGTTCATTCCTTTAAAATTTATATTTATTCTGTTTTTTCCACTCTGTTTTTTTTTTCTTTCCTTCTCCATTTTTTTTTTATGCCGGTTCTCAGCATTTCTCATCTTGCTGATATGTGATATTGTGATGAGGTGTCAATAAAGTCCTCTTGAATTTGATGTAGATGTTTAGGGTCGGTTGACTTGCCTATACCGATGTCGAATTTGTTATCCTACAAGCTATATTTCAGTTATGTGTATCTACAACGCAATGTTGGAAGCTTACTTTATACATCACATATTTTCTTGTAATGATAAACACCTTGACATTTGTTTGTATTGCTTTCTTTGTTAAACAGTAAAACTTGATTGTATAAAAATAAGCTTCAGAGAAGTCTTCTGAGATGAGGTCCACCCAGTCGACTGTTGTTGTTGCATGTTTGGTGATTTTCAGGGGAGTCTGAACGAAGAATAAAATCTCCAATTGTTGGGGCCAAGCCATGGTTCACAGAGGTTCTATACTAGAGTCCAGTAATCTTCCCCCAAAAGGTATTTTCAAGGAAACCCAGTTGCGCCAAGAAAAGGGATAATTTCCTCTTCTAAATAGATTTCTTAAAGAGCAGTGGTGCCAGTCCCAACTGCAGAAATCAGAAGGATTGTACTCAGCTCTGCTCTTGGTTCCAAAATCTTCAGGTGGATTCAGGCCAGTATTAGACCTAAAATTCCTAAATCATTACTTTTTTAACAGGTAATAAATATTTGGATGAAGCCTTACCAAATAGAATCTGTGGAAATTATAATGAAGGGTATATACTGTATAAAGGAAGGAAGATTGGCTGCCATCCGTCACTTTGATCAATGCCTATTTGCTCATTCCAGTATTTAAGCCACAACAGAGGTTTCTGTAGTTCTCAGTCCTAGCTCAGCATCTACAGTTCTCCTTTTCCTTTTGGTCTCTCGATAGCTCTGGGCACCTTAACAAAAGAAGCATAGATGTGGACCAAGGGGGTACAACATTATATTGATGATCTTCTAGGAGTAGTGAATCTTATCGGGAAGCACTGGCCAAAAGAAAGCTAGTTCTGAACTATCCAAGGAAGTTTGGCTGACTGGTGAATGAAAGGAAATGTCAACTTCAGCCTACTCAATCAATTCAGTACTTGGGAATGCCACTCGATACCAACAAATGAAAAGTGTTCTTGCCAGACTCAGAAATCCTGTTTGCTGGCCAATGTCTTGGAATCCTTGGTGTATTGTTTTAAATCTGGTTTATTGTTTTAAACAATCCCGATGACTTTGGCCCATTGAATTTTCCAATTGGAGCTTCTCAGCCAATGGATCAGGAGGAATCTTTTCCAATGAAGACTGATTTTAAAAGCAGTCAATCTCAGCCTGGGTTGGTCCCTCAACCTTGGGGACTGGATTAGGGATTATTGTTACTTCAGTTGACAGTCTCTAAGGCTAGGAGGGCACACTATCACGCCTGGGAACTTTATGGTAAATGGTCTCCTCCTCAGGGATAATCTTTGAATATCCTGGAAATCAGAGTGGCTTTCCAGGCTCTCCTATTCTTCAAACTGGTAATTCAGCATCAGAAAGTGAGGTTGAAAACTGACAACTCAAAGGAAGTGGCATATATAAAACATCAGGGAGGTAATCTCCATTAAGAAGTTTCACCAATGTCACAACTTTTCTGACCTCATGAAGCAGTCATTGAACATTCATTGCCTTCACAAAATCTTTTCCTTTATGTGGATATTATGACCTAAAGCCGCAATGCCAGACTGCCTTTGTATTTCTTAAAGTTTCTGGATTCCAGTGTTTTGGAAACAGTCCTGGAAATTTTCCCTGGTTCATGTGTTTCCTCCTGCCTCTTGGACATCATAGGCTTGCATCTCACAGTAGTTATCTGTAAGGCAGCTAGTTGGTCTTGCAAGGATACATTTGCAAACCACTACAGGTTGAATATGGCTTCTGGTCCTTAAGTGGAGTTTGGCTACACAGTCTTGTCTTCATGTCTATCTCCATAAAATATTTTTTTTTCTATTTTTCTGCAGTACCCACTTGTACCATTCTTTATCATTACTACTTAATTCCCTTCAGTGCTGACATGGGGGGTGCCTGGCATACAGAAAATTCAATGAAACACTTACTGTAATTTTCCTTTCACTCATCATTGATGAGATGGCGAGGCACTTAGAAAGCAAAATTACCATGAGACTTTTTGATTGGATTTGCCTAATCTCTGTCCAAAATGGTTACCATGGAACATAATGCATATATATGCCATACATTTTTGTCAGGCCTTTTATGCACAAGAACAATGTTCTCACTCTTGCTCTTAAATCGCATTTTACTTGTTCCCAAGAACACATTTGTAATTTGTCCAGGGAGGCACGAGTTTTATGCAGTCCTGCAAAACAACACAGCCAGGCTGGGGCTCTCATATTTCTCAGATAGAGAAACTTCTTCCTAATAATATATTACATAGATACACAGTTGATCAATCAAAGTTATATAGACACCTTCATCAAAAAACAAAAAAAAAAGAGAAAAGAAAAAAAGAAAAAAAGAAATATGTCTATATCTTTGTCGATGTCTAACTTTGAGCAACTGTGTACTAAGGCATGTTATTTTTTACATTATTAGTACTTTACCTCCTTAAATGCACGGTCCCGAAGAAGCTATATGTGAAACACCTTGACCGTTGAAATTGGACAAGATATGAATACAATCCATGTATCTATGTAATATATTATTAGGAGGAGATTATACATTGAGAGGAATGCCCTATGTATCTTTTAAATAGGACAGATGTTTACGTGTCTAATTTTATATATGTCAAAATAAAGTATGCTTATTTTACTGTACTCATATGTGGTCTCACGTAGTGCCTATAAAGTCCGCTTTCTATACCACTTAGTTTTTCTAGAGATTATTTGTTTTCTCTAGTATTTTTGGATGTGGCACACTGAAAGCTTTTGTGGTTTACTTATTACATGACAACATTAAATTGTGCTTTTTATCCACTTTACAAGTGCACTATAGCCAAATGACGGTTGTCCAGTTCATATGATGCCCTCAAAGAACGTGCCCCCCTGCGCACCCGCAGCAGCACACACCCGGCGCTGTCAGTGATCCTATGGACACAGCTGATCACATGACCAGGTAAAAGGCCAATCACAGCGGCCTTTTACCACGTGTGTCCAATGACACAGCAGATCACAAGGTAAATACACAGTAATACAGCTAACGGCAGCACTTTCCTCACGCTGTAGTACTGCTGATTACTGGCAAATGTCACAGAGCAGATCCGCACTGATCATCAGTGCTACCCACCAGTGCCCAGCAGTGCCACCCAGCAGTTGCACCCATCAGTACCCAATAGTGCTGCCCATCAGTACCACCAGTCACTGCAGTCAATGCCGCCAATCAGTGCTGTCAGTCAGTGCCGCCCATAAGTGCCACCTATCAGTGCCCATCATTGCTGCATAACAGTGCAGCATCATCAGTGCCTTCTCATCAATGCCCACCAGTGCCGCCTCATCAGTGCCACCTCATCAGTGTCCATCAGTGCTGCTTTTCAGTGCAGCCTCATCAATGCACATCAGTGAAGGAGAAAAATGACCTGTTTGCAAAATTTTATAATAGAAACAAAGAAAACTTTTTTTTTCCAAATTTTTTGCTTTTTTTTTTGTTTATAGTGCAAAAAATTAAATTCCCAGTGGCGATTAAATACCACCAAAAGAAAGCTCTATTTGTGTGAAAAAAATTATACAAATTTCATATGGGTACAATGTTGCATGACCACGCAATTGTCATTCAAAGTGTAACAGCACTGAAAGCTGAAAATTGGCCTTGGCAGGAAGAGGGTAAACGTGCTCGGTAGGCAAGTGGTTAATCTGCCCTGGAGTGATGCTTCAGCTGTAGGTAAGAAAAATAAAGACATACTACTGCATATTACTACTGTATATTGAAAAGCTGGTTGTATGATTACTCACCTAAGCAGTATAAGGCTAATTCATTTCCACCATAGTAGCTGTGCAGCTTCCCCCATTGGGCCTGCCAGAAGTCGCCCGATGCTCCCCAGAAACGCTGCAGGTGCCTGAAACAAGGATAAAATGTAAAATGTGATACCAGCCTGGGATTAAGATGTTTAATGTGTTATTGGTGAGACATGAATTGTCATTAAAATCTTTTAAAACAATGAGTTGAAGCTATGTAACTAAGTACCATAAATACATTAAGGCTAAAATTCAAGTAGCTGACGAGTGTATCATTCAATCCACCCTATCATCTTTGTATCTCATGTACTTGCAATTTACTCTTTCTGTTTCTTCTCTTTCTTGCGTTAATATATTTTTCTGTATTGTGCTTTTCAGAAGTGCCTTGTTTTTCTACTGTATCATTTGTAAATGAACTGTTGTTTTACAGTTTACTTTCATATAATAAAATCGTTTGTAAACAAAAAAAAAAAAAATTCAAGTAGCAAAATTACAATTGAACACAGCTATGTATTTTTAAAACTAATAAAACAGATATGTAATGTAAGTAGTGCAATTTCCTGAACATCTGCTGATATTAGTTATAATGTCCTTTAAAGTGGCACTAACATTTGGAGAAATGGTGGGAAAGTGCTGCACCTTGTTCTCATGTCAGAAGGATTAGATGTCTCATTTGTGCAGGTTAAATGGCCCCAGGATGTCTGTTCTGAGTGGAAAAAGAAACAGGTTTTGCAGTCTTCTCCAGATTTTATTCTCCTGGATTCAGGGGTGGACTGACAACTCATGGGGCCCCCGGGCAATAGGGGATCATGGGGGCCCCTGTGTCCTCAACCACACCCAAAAAAGCCTATGAAAAAGCCAATGAAAGGTACCAGGGGCATTACATGGGGCCCCCTACTGACCCCGGGCCCTAGGGCAGTGCCCGAGTGCTTGAATGGTCAGTCCGCCCCTGCCTGGATTGGGTTGTGAAGCCCAGAGGCTTTGTAGAGACACACGGGAGGGATGAAGCCTCTGACCCTGTGCCTCATTTTACTGGAAACCAGCACTTCAGAGTGGTATTAAGACTAATTAATTACGTAGGAGCCTGCAGAGCCACAAGTTGGGCCATGTGTTTTTCACAAGGCTGAATAAGATAACGTGCTGAGCAGGGGCGGACTGACCATTTAGAAACTCAAGCACTGCCCGAGGGCCCGGGGTCAGTAGGGGGCCCCATGAGATGCCCCCTGGTACCTTTTTCATAGGCTTTTTTGAGTTTGGGCAAGGGCACAGGGGCCCCATGATCCCCTATTGCCCGGTGGCCCCATGAGTTGTCAGTCCGCCCCTGGTGCTGAGTCTGTGCGGAAACAGGCTTAAGCTGTGTACACGCTATCATTTTTTTTTTGTTCAGCCCAGCGGCTGAACAAAAAAAAAACTGAAGAGCTTCCTGAGAAGCTTGCTGTACTAACGATCATATTTTAGTACAGTGATCTCCACATTGAGCTATTGTGTCCTGACAGAGGAACTGCCCCCTACCAGAACACAGCAGTTGGCTGTCAGCCCTGATCAGATGCTGGTTTCCCACATGGAAGAAAAATATATTTGAAATATATTTAAAAAATATTCTTCCCAAATATATTGACATATATTTGAAATGCTACAATTTTGGCCATATTCAGTATATTTCAAAATATATTTCAATAAATATATAAAATGACTTTTTTTAGATGATAAAAAAAATCTGAAGAATATATTTAAAAAACATATATTTTTAAAAATATATATTTTTTAAATATATTTTTCAGATTTGTTTAACATATATTGAACATTTCAACATATATTTTTTTAACATATATTTGTAAATGCATTCCAAAAATGTAGATTTATATTTTTAAAGACATACAGTATATTTGAAATGTATTTTGAAAAATATTTTTCATATATTTTTGTAATAAAAACGCATTTCAACATACAGTGGCTCTGAGGAAGAGGCAAAATATGTCCGTTCCTAACCTTGGAAACCACTAAGCAATTCATTCACTCCCTTATTATATCATGCCTTGACTACTGTAACTCCCTCCTCATTGGCCTACCTCACTGCAGGCTATCCCCACTTCAGTCTATCTTGAATGCTGCGGCCAGACTCATCCACCTTACTAACTGCTCTGTTTCCGCCACCCCCCTCTGCCAATCCCTCTACTGGCTTCCGATCGCCCAACGGATAAAATTCAAAATGCTAACATTGACATATAAAGCTGTTCATAATACTGCCCCAAACTACATCACCGATCTGGTATCCAAATACCACCCAAAAACGTACTCTCCGCTCCTCACAAGACCTCCTACTCTCTTGTTCCCTTGTCTCCTCCTCCCATGCCCGTCTCCAGGACCTCTCCAGAGCTTCCCCCATCCTCTGGAACTCCCTACCCCAATCCATCAGACTATCACCTACTCTCCTCACCTTTAGGCGCACTCTGAAAACCTATCTCTTCAGGGAAGCCTACCCTGCCCTCAGCTAATTACTGAACTCCTCCACTCTTCCTACCACTCCATCCCACACAGCTATTTCCTTCTGTACCACTATCCCTTCCCTCCTAGATTGTAAGCTCCAAGGAGCAGGGCCTTCGAACCCCTCTTGTATTGAATTGTATTGTTACTGTACTGTCTCGTGTATTGTCTCCCATTATAATGTACAGCGCTGAGCAAACCGTTGGCGCTATATAAATCCTGTATAATAATAATAATAAAAGTCCTCAAAACGCATCAGCCTATTGGATGTCTATACTCCCTATTGCGGACTGTTACTCAGCGTGGTGTTGACCCAGCTGTTCTTTATGATGCGCCTTGACTATATTGTCATTTGTGAGTACAACACCTACTTTTTTTTCTTATTAAACATTTTTTATGGCAATGCACTAGGCCTGTGCGCCCTCTGTTTGTTCTTTCCTCATTCAGTATATTTGGATTTCCCCGGTCTATTGAGGGCAGCAAGGTGTGCATATTCCAGGACATTCTTAATGTGGTTGTAGCCTGCATTGAGTCCATCCCCAAGCGCAGGAGCATTTGTGTTTACTCAAAACCACTGCAAGGGTTGCCTTTTGTGTGAGTTTTTGACCTTTTGATTAAAAGTGGGCAAAAAGTCCAAAAACGTACTTCACTGACTGGACTGAAGTTCATGAAAGGTGCTACACTTGGGTCCCCACGATGGGCTTCACAGAAGGCTAGTCTGACTCTGATGACAGGAACATGCTGTCACATGAGGATAGAGGTGACTTTCATTGTCCAATGACAGGCTGAGAGCAGAGACATGACCAAGCTGTGTTGCTGAACATCAGTAAAGTGGGGTCACTACTCTGGCTGTCAGGGGGAGTGCAATTCCTCGGATTGGATGGGCAACATTAAAATCCAACAGTAAAACAATTCCTATTCACAGCATGTATGTGAGCTACGTATTTAGCTAATAACCAGAAATTCAACTTTATTTATCCTCAGCTACTCAGGGTGAACGGATCCCTGACCTGTGATAACATAGATGAAAGGCTGCGCTGAACTACAGTCACAAGATTTGGTCATCAGATAACAGGAAGCCACAAAATGCACAGTGAATTCAGAACTGCCTAGTACTGTTGACACTTTCAGCTTGAGACCGACTATAAAGCCACGGCCTTCCCTGTTTACTACAGATATGAGATGTTTTGGAACATATTGCACAGAAATAGTAACTTCTAGCTTTTTTTTTTTGCTAGAAGGAGAATACGTCACGTAAATCTTTCATGGATGACTTAAACAGGATGTAAATGCTCAATCTGTTCTTATTAAAATAACAAACATGTTATACTTACCTGCTCTATGCAATGGCTTTGCTCACAGCAGCCCCAATCCTCCTCATCTGAGGTTCCCCACCGGCAGCTCTGGTTCCTCTCCCCCCCCCCTCCCCCGAGTGCCCCTAGAGAGCAAGGCACTTTCTATGGGGGCATTCGTGTGTGCTAATGCCTTAGCCCTGCCCTGTAAGTCCATTGACACACAAAGCAAGGATCGGATTGGCCCCCCCTCTCCCTCCCAACTGGCTGTGATCCTGCTTCTGTCTCTGAGCCAATGAGGAAAAAAGAGAGCAAAGAGAGACGCTGCTCTTGTACACATTGCTGGATTGAGATCAGGCTTAGGTAAGTATAAGGTGTGTGTGTGGGGGCGCTGAATGCAGAAGGTTTTTACCATAATGCAAAGAATGGATTAAGGTAATAAACCTTCTATCTTTAACCAGTTGCCGACTGCAGGTAGGCCGTCATATGATATGTCCTCCCAGAATGCGATCTCTGTTATCGCTGTGTCCTATGGACACAGCTGATCACATGATGTGGTAAAAGGCCAACCACAGCAGCCTTTTACTACGTGATCAGCTGAGTACAACGACACGCTGATCACAGGGAAATGCAATTGCCGGTTCTCGGCTGCACTTTCCTCACGCGCTGTCAGATCGTGAGGAAAGTACTGCCAAGAACCGTCAGTTGTCAGAGCAGAGATCGGCACCGATCATCAGGGCACTGATGATCAGTGCCCTGATGATCGGTGCCTAGCAGTGCCACCAACCAGTTCAGCCCACAAGTGCCCAGCAGTGCCACCCACCTGTGCTCTCCAGTCCCACGCACCAGTGCCCATCAGTGCAGCCCAGCAGTGCCGCCAGTCAGTGCTCAGCAGTGCCACCTATCAATACCCATCATCAGTGCCACTTTTCAATGCCGCCTATAAGTACCGCCTATCTGTGCCACCTATCAATGCCGCCTATCTGTGCCGCCTCATTAGTGCTGTCTATTAGTGCCGCCTATCAATGCCGCCTATCAGTACCACCTATCTGTGCCGCCTCATTAGTGCTGTCTATTAGTGCCGCCTATCAGTGCCCATCAATGCCGCCTATCAGTACCGCCTATCTGTGCCGCCTCATTAGTGTTGTCTATTAGTGCCACCTATCAGTGCCCATCAGTGCAGCCTCATCAACGCACATCAGTGAAGAAGAAAAATTACCTGTTTGCAAAATTTTATAATAGAAACAAAGAAAAACATTTTTTTTTTATTTTTTGTTCTTCTTTTGTTTATAGAGCAAAAAATAAAACACCCAGCAGTGAGTAAATTCCACCAAAAGAAAGCTCTATTTGTGAAAAAAAATGATACAAATTTCATATGAGTACAATGTTGCATGACCGCACAATTGTCATTCAAAGTGCGACCATTGAAAGCAGAAAATTGGCCTGGTAAGGAAGGGGGTATAAGTGCCCGGTAGGCAAGTGGTTAAAAGAAATGACATTACTTGATCACGTCTCTCATATACATATATTATAATATATGTTTGTGAATATATCACTTGACATTGCTATGCATACTGTACAGAGGAGCTACATGGACAATTGCCTCCAGCAACCAAATAAAAGCACCCTGAGAAAAGTATGAATTTTCATTCCTTCCTCTTGTGGGCAGGTACAGTCCAAGCTCTTTCTGCACATACATACTTCCCAACCTTCTGAGATGAGACAGAGGGACACCTTTTAGCACAAAGGACAGATCCCTGCCATACTCCCAGCTTGAGGGTTAGGGACTGATGTGAATGTATAATGTATGTATGTAAAGCGCTGCATAAATTGACGGCACTATATAAGTACCTGAAATAAATAAATAAATAAAAATAAATAATGACAATTGTGCGGTCATGCAACACTGTACCCATAAGCATTTTTTAGCATTTTTTTTGAGACAGATAAAACTTTATTTTGGCGGTATTTATTCACCACTGGGATTTTAATTTTTTTGCTACATAAATTAAAAAATCCAAAAATGTTGAAAAAAAGTGTTTTTCTTATAAAATTTTGCAAATAAATATTTTTTCATAAATCTTGGCCAAAATGTATTCATCTATCTTTTTAGTAAAAAAAAAAAATAACACAAATTAGTTTATAACTTTTTTTTTACATTTTTATTTTATTTTTTATAATATTATTATTATTATTATTTTATATATTTTTTTTAACATACACTCACCCTAGCAGTATAGTGTCACCATAGGGACACTGTACTACTTGTGGAGGTTATGAAGATATTTTTCTCTTTTTTTACACTGATTGCTTTTACACCCATAAAGGCTGTAAAAACAATAATTTCTCCTCTCTGGCTGCATTTCTGCAGCTATTGAGAAATACTGTGCAAGCTGTGATTGGTCACAGCTTGTCACATGGTACAAGGCTGTTGTGAATAGCCTTGTACAGGGGTGGACTGACCATTCGAGCACTCGGGCACTGCCCGAGGGCCCAGGGTCAGTAGGGGGCCCCATGAAATGCCCCTGGTACCTTTTTTTATAGGCTTTTTTGAGTGTGGGCAAGGACACAGGGGCCCCATGAGTTGTCAGTCCGCCCCTGGCCTTGTACCATTTGACCTCTGTGATTATTCACATATTTCCCAAGTAGTAGGGATAGATGTCAGGAAGTGATATCTTGTTTACTACTGTTCATTGGCCAATCAGTGATCACATGAATCGGGACCTCACACAGAGGTCCCGTACAGCAATCTGTGTTCCATTGTGTCCAGAGGACACAGGCGGAAGGCACTGGCAATGGATGTGGGGGGACATTTATAAACTTCCATCCGCATAGGCAGCACTCCCGTCTGGCCATTTATCAACATGAGCCGGACAGGAAGGGGTTAAGGAGATCAGTTTACACTGGGGCCAGTAGTGCAGTTGGAGGACAGACTTCATCTGCCTTTGGTAAATACACCCCTGGTCATAGATGCAGTTTAGCATTGTCCTGCTGAAATATACAAGGCCTTCCCTGGAAAAAGACATCATCTGGATGGGAGCATATGCTGTTTTAAAACCTGGATATAGCTTTCAGCATTGATGGTACCTTTCCAGATGTGCAAACTGCCCATTCCATAGGCACTAATGCACCCCCATACCATCAGAGATGCAGGTTTTTGAAGAGTGCTGATAACAAGCCTGAAGGTCCTTCTCCTTTTAAGTCCAGAGGATACGGCACCCATGGTTGCCAAAAAGAATGTCAAATTTCAATTTGTCTGACCACAGAACAGTTTTCCACTTTGCAACAGACCATTTTAAAAGAGCTTTGGCCCAGAGAAGACAGCTGCGTTTCTAGATCATGTTTCGATATGGCTTCTTCTCTGCATGATCGAGCTCTAACTTGCATTTTTGGATGTCACCGCAAACTGCTATCACAGACAGTGATCTTTGGAATAATTCCTCAGCCCATGCAGTGATGTCCAGTACAGAATCATGCCTGTTTTTAATACAGTTCCATCTGAGGGCCCCAAGATCACAGGCATCCAATGTTCTGTTTCAGCCTTGTCACTTGTGCACAGAGATTTCTCCAGATTCTCAGAATCTTTTAATAATATTATGTACTGTAGACGATGATGTATTTAAAGTCTTTGTAATTTTATGCTGACAAATATTATTCTGAAATTGTTCAACAATTGTTATATGCAGCTTTTCACAATTGGTGAGCCTCTGCCCATCTTTAATCTGACTCACTAAGATGCTCTTTTCATACCCAATTTTGTTACTGATCTGTTGCCAGATAACCTAATTGCAAAATGTTCTTCTAGCTCTTCCTTGTTAGTACTACTTACTTTACCAGCTTTTTGATACCCTGTCCCATCTTTTTTGATACATGTTGCTGCCATCAATTTAAGGATTACCTTATTATTTTCTTAGACTGGTAGATTTTCTCAGTTTAAACATTTAATATGTTTTCTATTTTCTATTGTGAATAAAAATATGGGTTTATGATATTTGCAAATCATTGCATTCTGTTTTTATGTAGATTTTACTAAATCTAATTTTTTTGGAATTGGGGTTGTAAATATTCTTCCTCCTCTCTGTTCTGTTAAAATAAAAAATGCTCACCTTCTGATGTAGAAATGGATCTACCACTGCCAGCAACTCAGCGATCAGGCTAGAGACCTCCTTCTTTGGAGGAAGGAACTAACTTGGTGTCTACACACTACAGCACCCTAGGCTATAATTGCTTCTTGTTTGCCTGTAAGATTATGGGAGGCATGGGAATTAAATACAGTAGCTCCTGGTTGAAGAAGAGGTCTCCAGGACTCGTGTTTCAATGAAAATCCAACCATTGTGCAAATGAGTATTTTTATTCTAATAAAACAGATTGGCCCTGGATTAACCATATTTATATTTGGGAGGTTATTGTGAAGGTATTTTAATAGAGTCTCACCTGCCTTTTAATTTACTTTCTTGAAAGTATTGCTTCTGCAGGTCAAAGCAGAAAATTAGAACTGGCAAGAACAAAGATCATATCTGTGGGCTAAATAACTAAAAAAATGAGAGGATTCCCCCTTCTACACAAAAGAGGTGGGTGGAGGAATTGGAGGAATCCCCCCCGCCCCGCTGTGCTAAAGTATTCTGACAGCTGGGACTCCTCCACTGTCGTCAGAATACACTGATCAGTGCTGCAGCCACTGATTGAATCAAAATTTCCCAACAGTCCCAACAAACCGATCAACTTGTATTGAAGGGGGGGGGGGGGCAAACACTAATCCATGTGCAGCCTGTCCCTGCTAGACCAGCTAGATTTTGATCCATGTATACCCACCTTTGGATCCTTGTGAGTACCTGCCCACTGACACTCAATGAGGCTATGATGTTGATTTACTAAAGGCACATAGACTGTACACTTTGCAAGTGCAGTTGCACTCTGCTAAGGAATTTGCTCAAGAGCTTAGTAAAAGAGGTAAATCTTCAATTTGCAAAGAATACCCAATCCCATGCAGGGAAAATTAAAAAAAACAGCATTTTTGCTTGCATATGATTGGATGAAGTAAGTCAGCAAAGTTTCCCCTAACTTACTAAGCACATTCCCTTGAAGATTACACCATCTATTTGCCTTTTGTAAATCAACTCTGCGTCTGTTCTCATGTGAAAAAAAGAACCAGATCAACCATGCTCTAAAAATTACAGCAATATAGCAAAATATAACATGAATACAGCTGATACATTTTAGACACAGTAATTGGAACATAGCACACTGTTACAAAATAATCTCACCATGTGACTGTGTTTCTGAAGGCAGCAAACGTAAGAAGTCCAGTGCCTAACACAAAAGCTGTTTTCTTCACTGAGTCCCAAACTTGCCCATCCTAGAGGGAAAAATATGAATACAGCAACATTAACAGGATATAACTATGGTAAATAGCAGTGTTACAAAAATGGTGGTGCTATATAAAATGGCATATTACAAGTATGGGTAGGTAAAAAACCATTACTGTGAAAAATAACTATTTTTTTAATACCTGTAATGATAGTGTTCGGTATATGAATTTCTTTTTTTTATTTTACAGGTTTTTATTTATACTTATCTTCATCTTTAGTCCTCATGCACACTGGGCATTTTTACAGCGGCTGTTTTTGGCTTTTGGCATTTTTTTTCTACAACCAGTAAACTCCCCAGCATGTTATCCTATGTGTCCATAGCACACAGGTTTTAATCAGAATTTTTTGACATGGGTGTTTTTTGGCTGGGAAAAAAAAACAGGACTAGTGGGTTTCTAAAGAATGTTTTAGCTATAAAAATGCTCTAATGCTGAAAAACGTGGTAAAATGCAGTAAATCGCAGCAAAAACACTGCAAACCAGCGTTTTTTTGACTATTTTTGAGCAAACAATATATATTTTTGGACTAACAAAATGCTAAAGAATGCAGCTAAATGTTAATGCAAAAATGCATTTAACATAACTTTACACAGCTAACGCTACCAAGGTTATTAAAACGCCCCGAGTGCATGGAGCCTACATGCAGACCGAGCTATAGAAGACAACAAGGTAGCCAAAGTGCAGGAATTAGTAAAAAACAATGTGTCATTTATTAAACATTTATAAAACAAATGACACATTGTTTTTACTAATTCCTGCTCTTTGGCTACCTTGTTGTCTTCTACAGTATATGCCACTGAGGATTCCTCCCAGATCTGATTTCATTAGAGCTCTCCATCCATTCATCCTCTCATCCAACCATCCATGGTCTTCATTCCATATGAACTATCATTCAGCCTGAGTTCACACTGATGTGGTGCAGAATTTGCACCGGTTTCTGTGCGAACTCTACATCACATCATAATTGCACCCTGTTCATGCAGGTGTATATATTAAGTTAATAACACCCCGAAATTGGTTTGCAAAACGCGGTGCGATGTGCAAAATCGGATTGCATAGGTGTGAATACTCATGTGATCCGATTTTAAGGTGGACAAAAAAAAGGGTCCTGTATCTTTTTGGTGCGGATGCGGTGCTATTTGAGCCATACAAAATGTATGGCTGAAATTGCACCGCACAGAATTCACATGTGATTTGCACAGGAATGTGATGTGGTTCCTGTGCGAATCACATGCAATATACCGCACAAGTGTGAACCTGAGCTAAGGCTGCTGAATACTTGTACCCACCATCCAGGACTTCATTATATCATCAACTATGATGATTCCACCAATAGGAATTGGGAATAAGTACTTTCAAAAATGTATTTGACTGTTGTACTAAGAAGCGCTGAGAGACTTTTTTTCTTTGTAGTTTTATGCAGACCAAGCTGTCCAGCAAAAGTAGCAGTGGCATCACTTAGCTAGTACAGAAATTTATGGCACTTCTGTATCAAAATAAAATTTCTCATTGCCTATAGGAAGCAGTCAGAATCAACATTTCATTTTCAGCTATGCGTTATAGAAATCTGGAATCTGATGATTTCAAATGTTTTTGTTAGCACACTTTTGATACATACAGCAAGTCCCATACATGTCTGTATACTGTATGTCTTTCTAGATTTCTTCAGATATAAGCAGCATGTTTCAGGCACTACGAGATGAGCCTCTGTCAGTTGCTCATTGTAAGGCTTCATTCACGCAGGTGCAGAGGCCCCTATAGCATGAGGGATTTGTTTATGTGTCTTATAGCAGCTGTGTGCAGGCAGCATAAGTAAGTGAATGCAAGTGCAGCGGCTGTACAGACTCACCCACACAGCAGAGTTTGGCAAGTTCAAGGGTGGATGTGTGACACTGAACACAGACAGTGTGCATCACATCTACTGTTTGAAAAATATAAACTTATAAAGCACAAGAGAAAAGTGCTATACAGGGCTGCTGTTAGAAATAATGGGGTCCCATACAGCGAACCTGACAGTGCCCCGCCCCCCCCCAAAAAAAAACCCACGTCTTACTATGCGTTAGTTATGAATGAATACCGCGAGTGATCGGTACTGATCACTCATTGTTTTCATTCAGGACAGGTAAGGGCTGGTAAATGTAACATTTGTACTGGGCCTATCCCCCACTCTCCTTCCTGAATGATCCTATTGAGTGCTTGCAGCTGCCAGTGGGGAACAGAGGAGGGAAGCCGGCAACACGGCAGGGGTAAAGGCACAAAGGGAGGCCTGGGCAGCAGGGGGAAACGTTTGGTGCACAAGGAGGATGATGGGTGCAGGGGAGCAGGGTCAATTATTGGAACCGAAACCCCTGTATGGCTCTCTCTGCAGTAGCTGAAAGCCAGAGGAAGGGAGAGGAGAAGAAGCCAGCTTTCAGCTGCTGCAAAGAGAGCCATACAGGGGATCAGTTCCAGTAAAATGCCCCCCACCACTTTGCCGGTCACCCTCCCTGCCCATATCTGATTCACCCATCATTCACTCACTCACCTGGCCCCCCTGCTGGCCTGGGCTCTGTACAGGAGGATGACCATCCACAGCCCTGGTGCTGTATATATATGTGAGTAATTGTTATTGTGTTGTATACAAGGTACTGTACATACAGTATTCACTTTCCTGACAAGTGTGAAAATGAAAATATGAAACATTTTACTTATTTTCTATACCCATGTTCTACATGCCTCTCCCCTAGGCTGCCGAAATTATATCTAACCAAAAATCCTGAAATCTTCATGTTACCTGGCTTCTGCGTTCCAAGAGAACAGAGGTGTCACTTTTACCCATCTGTAAGCAGACAGAAATGTACCCATCATTAATAGGGCCACAGTATAAAGAGAATCTCAGCAAAATCAGAAGTTCTATTAAAATCAGTTTATTATAATCAATTTACAATGAAAAGATATCCAGAAAAAATACATTATTTCTATAAATACTATGATATGTATTATGATGCTCCTTGTTAAAGACAGAATTAAAACAGAATGTACAGTATGTTCTTTCTTTCTTTGTTATCTGTTTTTCTTTCTTTTTCACTCAAGTGAAGAAGTCAGAGCCATGACTCCTCCACTTGTCTCACTATGGAGGTTTCACATAAAGACAACTATTGCTGGGCTTTCAGTTAAGATAACCCTTAGTGCTCTGGGAATCCTTTGGCGGGGATATACCTTGTAATATATGTTTATTTAAAAAAAAAACAAAGACTGTAAATACATAGTTAAAACAGGATTTAGAAACATTTAAATCTAAAACTGTAAAGTAAAATTGACCAAATTTTGCTTTAAATGTCATTGGAGAGAATTTACAATGTTAATTACTTTACACCTCCTCCAACAACAGACACAAAGACAAGCAGAATTCATGTCAGCTCAGCTAGACCTAGTGCTAAATTTACACTGTACTGGCCCATCATTGTGGCTACACCAGTAGCTCAATGCAGCTTAGATTCAGTTGTTATTATACATGTCTTGACCCCTTGCATTGCCTCCATTTGAAATGAAATTTCTTCCATTCATGGACAACAACAAAGCACACATTAGCTTTAGTCAAGGATGACTTGTATGTGAGTGCTTCTGAAATGTGCCCATACATTGGCAGAGGTTTTGTTGGTGGTTGATGACCAGGTGGCAACTCTACCGTTCAAATTGGCAACATTTTCTGAACATACAGTCAGGTCCATAAATATTGGGACATCGATACAATTCTAACATTTTTGGCTCTATACACCACCACAATGGATTTGAAATGAAACAATCAAGATGTGCTTTAATTGGAGACTGTCAGCTTTAATTTGAGGGTATTTACATTCAAATCAGGTGAATGGTGTAGGAATTTCAACAGTTTGCATATGTGCCTCCCACTTGTTAAGGGACCAAAAGTAATGGGACAGAATAATAATCATAAATCAAACTTTCACTTTTTAATACTTGCTTGCAAATCCTTTGCAGTCAATTACAGCCTGCAGTCTGGAACGCATAGACATCACCAGACGCTGGATTTCATCCCTGGTGATGCTCTGCCAGGCCTCTACTGCAACTGTCTTCAGTTCCTGCTTGTTCTTGGGGCATTTTCCCTTCAGTTTTGTCTTCAGCAAGTGAAATGCATGCTCAATCGGATTCAGGTCAGGTGATTGACTTGGCCATTGCATAACATTCCACTTCTTTCCCTTAAAAAACTCTTTGGTTGCTTTTGCAGTATGCTTTGGGTCATTGTCCATCTGCACTGTGAAGCGGCGTCCAATGAGTTCTGAAGCATTTGGCTGAATATGAGCAAATAATATTGCCCGAAACACTTCAGAATTCATCCTGCTGCTTTTGTCAGCAGTCACATCATCAATAAATACAAGAGAACCAGTTCCACTGGCAGCCATACATGCCCACGCCATGACACTACCACCACCATGCTTCACTGATGAGGTGGTATGCTTAGGATCATGAGCAGTACCTTTCCTTCTCCATACTCTTCTCTTCCCATCACTCTGGTACAAGTTGATCTTGGTCTCATCTGTCCATAGGATGTTGTTCCAGAACTGTGAAGGCTTTTTTAGATGTCGTTTGGCAAACGCTAATCTGGCCTTCCTGTTTTTGAGGCTCACCAATGGTTTCCATCTTGTGGTGAACCCTCTGTATTCACTCTGGTGAAGTCTTCTCTTGATTGTTGACTGACACACACATACACCGACCTCCTGGAGAGTGTTCTTGATCTGGCCAACTGTTGTGAAGGGTGTTTTCTTCACCAGGGAAATAATTCTTCGGTCATCCACCACAGTTGTTTTCCATGGTCTTCCGGGTCTTTTGGTGTTGCTGAGCTCACCGGTGCGTCCCTTCTTTTTAAGAATGTTCCAAACAGTTGTTTTGGCCACGCCTAATGTTTTTGCTATCTCTCTGATGGGTTTGTTTTGTTTTTTCAGCCTAATGATGTCTTGCTTCACTGATAGTGACAGCTCTTTGGATCTCATCTTGAGAGTTGACAGCAACAGATTCCAAATACAAATAGCACACTTGAAATGAACTCTGGACCTTTTATCTGCTCATTGTAATTGGGATAATGAGGAAATAACACACACCTGGCCATGGAACAGCTGAGAAGCCAATTGTCCCATTACTTTTGGTCCTTTAACAAGTGGGAGGCACATATGCAAACTGTTGTAATTCCTACACCGTTCACCTGATTTGGATGTAAATACCCTCAAATTAAAGCTGACAGTCTGCAGTTAAAGCACTTCTTGTTCATCTAATTTCAAATCCATTGTGGTGGTGTATAGAGCCAAAAATGTTAGAATTGTGTCGATGTCCCAATATTTATGGACCTGACTGTACACATGGTAAATGCATCTCATCCTTTTCTTTAGAGAAACAGAGGTTTCACAAAGTTACAATACAATGGGGGTATTTACTAAAACTGGAGCGCACAGAATGTAGTGCTCTGGTGCATAGTAACCAATCACCTTCCAGGTTTTATTGTCAAAGCTTATTTGAACAAGCTGAAGCTAGAAGCTGATTGGTCACTGTGCACAACTGCACCAGATTTTGTGTGCACCAGTTTTAGTACATCTCCCCCATGGTGTCACAGAGCTCAAGTCAATTTCCACATATGGAGATATTTGTGTCTCTCTAATTTGCTAAACCCCTAACTGGTACAGTTTTTTCATTAATACTGGACAATTATAGCCTGCACTAGTTTTGGGGGATAGAGGAGATGTTCTGTAAACACCTTCTGTTTCAAGGCAATCCTGTACTTCACATACTTTAGTGTGGGGATTGGGTTTCTTTTGGTCCAACTTACTATCTTTATCATGGGTATAATACTGTCCCATTTGTTCACCAACTCTCACTGTACAAAACATATACTTTTTATAAACTGCAGTACTTTCGTACGGGGCGGATCATCAGCACGATCCGTCTGCTCAACGGGGGAATCTCTCTGCTGATCCCCACTGAGCAGGCGGATGACAGGTCTCTGTCCACTCCGCTGCTGCAGAGCGGACACAGACACAGCCCGCTGATTTCAATGGGATGGTCGGATGCAAACAGAACGCAATCCTGTACACCCATCCATCGGTTTTTTGGTGTACAGGATTGGATCAGATGCCTGCGGGTGTGAGTGGACTATTGTCCGCTGACACCTGCCAGTCCATAGAAGTCTATGGATGGACCGATCAGGTCTGCCTGAAAAATGGGCAGATGGCCCCACTGGTCCACTCGTGTGAAAGGAGCCTAAGTGTTTAAAAGATGTACCCAATGGAAAAATATAAAACATTTAGGAAGCATCCCTGTTATAAACATTTGGTCCCTAAAGCACAATATACTGCTAAGTAACAAAGAAATGTATATCTCTGCTCACTATCATTCAGAGCCCATTTACATCTATGTGTGGGCGAATAGATGTGTTCTTTGTAGGCAGATGTATTAACACACTTTTTCAATTAAACTTCAGTTACGTTTAATATTTAGAATTTGAAGTGGATTGGGTGAAAGTGACACTACACTCTGGCTGACAAAAAAAATTCTATGCAAGTATGTATTCTTAACTAAAAAGTACCTTTTATTGTTTTCATTCTCCAAATTTCCAAATTTCTTTTTTTTTTACTACTGAGATCAGACTTCCTCACACTCATTCTCCATAGTCCCACTGTATGAGGGAACATAGTCACCCTCCCTTGCTCGCACCCAAGACAGACTAGGGATTATAGAGTATGGGAATTGTGGTGTGCATAGAGCAGTGCAGATGACCACAACTATCATGCACTACATGTTTCAAACACTCAAAGTGAGGGGGTTGAGGAGAGCTTCAGGAGCTAACCTTGAAACTCCCGCACCACCACGATACAATATCGTGCGGCGCAGTCACATAAACTTGCATGGATTGTGATCGGCAGCAGTAATGTCAGCCAAATGCACCATATTGTGTAATATTTGCCGTGGCTACAAAGCACAGCATAACATTTGCAAAATAGGAACAGCACTGAGCAGCAGCATGCTCTCATTCAGGTGGGTGGTTCTGGGGAGGTAAAACCACGGCTCAATCATATGCTTTTACCCAAGGTGGATTTGATTTAAATTAAGTTGATTTAAGGTCACTAGTGAAAAGGCTCGACTGAAATCATAACTTTTAAAGAGCAACTGTCATCTCTGTCCCGCAGCGGCTCCTCCTCTGACCCGCTGCTGACTCACTTTAATCACACGGCTGGTGATGTGGCACTGACACAACAAGGTGAGGGATGTGGCAGCAGCAGGTGAGTGGATGCCCACTAACAGTTGCTGCCATAATGGATCTAAAATGACAGGTGCTCTTTAAATGTAAGGAATCCGACTCATTCTTGCTGGTAGTTAGAATCTTTAATATTTGTAAACCAAATGAAGGTTTCCTTTTTAGAATAATAAGGTGCCAGGTTAGTAAAACAGCGATATCAGAACCGATTTTAGGTTAATTGGTTAATCACACGTAGCTGGAGAACTACTCAAATTCTTTTATTTTATGTTTTTTCTTATGGTTACTGTGAAATTGTGTGAATGCATCAATGCAGTGCATGTTATCTCAGCTTGGATTCATTGAATGAGTTTACAAAAAATGTAAATATTGCAGAACATGCAGCCTCATGCTACATAATAAAGCTCCAGTTCATGCTGAATAAACTCAATTATTAATGTATCTTAAATAGAAAATTATCTTTAGATAGATTTTTACTCCAAAAGCATTTTGTTAAAATAAATTTGATAAAAATAAAAAAAAATCTGATTTAAATTTAAAAAATCCGATTTAAATTAAAAAAATCAGATTTTTAAATT